CCCCCCCATACAACTCCCGCCCCTTGCACTGCGAACAGGCCCCTCCACCGAACGCCCCGCCTGCCGGGCTTCGCCTGCAGATGTGCGGCCTAACCAACACGCCCATGTCGGCGCCTGTTACCCCGGTCATGGTCTATGCCCCCGGTCATGGGTACATGATGGCCTACCCGCCTGTCAACGTCCCTAGTGTCCAAACCCCTCGGTCTACGCGCTCTCAGGTATTTCAACGGTGGTGTCGTGTATGTAGACTTCGTGCCTTTTTGCTTTTATTTTTTTGCAGTTTCGACGTGAAAAGCGCTGCATGTCTGAACCTGCAAAATAGCAAATAGGAAACTGGTCATTTTTGTGCGTGGGTGTTTTTTCGCGAACAAGCACGGCCCTTGTGTTGTTGGTTGTGTTTGAGGATCTACTCTTCTTTTGATGTCTCCTCTTCGTAAAACTAAGTGGACAGCTATAAACATTCCTGCTTACGTCTCCTCGGCGGATGCTTTTCTCCCGAACAAGCAAAGGCTGCTGTTGGTTGTTTTCGAGGTTCTACTCTGCTTTTTTTTTTTGTCTCCTCCTGCTAAAGCTAGTTAACAGTTATGAATACACCTGCTTGCTGTCTCCGCGTGCCAGTTGTGATTCTGCGGTGTCGGCTTGGCGTCAGAGACGACAACGTCGTCATTCCCCGTGCTCTCGCATCACCACCACGACCGCCCTTCGAAAAGTCATACTCTGACGGCGTACCTATCTTTTTCTGAAAACATGTCCTGATGGTAACTATTTCAACTCGCAACATTCGCTGTTCCTGGGCTAGAAAATTTGCAACAAATCTTATGGTACGGTGCCTTGTTGCCGCTTCTCCTGCGGTCGGCTTATCCCCGAGTCTAACGCTGAGTGTTTTTTTGGATCGTACTGCTGTGCTGTTGTTGCCCTTGGTTCGTTTCAGGCATCTAAAGCGTGGGACCCTTACGAGTGTGTGTCTCCCTCGGGAGAGAGCACCCACGCTGGTTTTGGACGCAGGTACGGCGATGCGGTTTGTGGCTGCTTGATGTCGTTGACTCGGGATGGTGTCAAGCCCTCATCGCCTGAAGCAAAGTAGATTGTATCGTTGTTGCCTCTCCCGCCTCTGCTTTGAGCAGAGGCGGTCGATAGGTGTACGAACGTCGAGATGTTGTTGCCGATGCTGCGGGATCAGTGACGGGCCGACAGCGGTCAAGAAACTTGAAGTTCGAGTGGGGGGGTCAATTTGTTGTACCCGGAGCACTTGGGCCACCGTCAAGGCAAAGCAACGTAAATTGACCCCACACACGCGTACCGATTTGTTTGCGTCGTACTTAGCAGGGGAAAAGAGACGCCCGATTTGTCCCCGGAAGGGTCTCCTGTAGCGCTGTCGTCGGCCATGTCGGTCTCGTCGCGCGGCAGCCTGAGCAAGCAAGGAGCAAGAGGAGACGACGACGCGTCACAGGTATGTTGCAATATCACTTCTGCATGCAGTAGAGGTCCCTGTTTAGTGTCGGTTGAAAAGTGCCGGTGTTTTCCGTGAGCACAAACTGAACATATTTCCAAATCATTCTCAAGACTTTCGATAGTGCCGGTGAAATTTCTGGGCACATACCGGCACTAGACGGGGACCTCCAGAGGTCATGTATCCAACTCATTGATGAAAATTTGTCTCCATTCAACTCATGATGAAAAACGGACGGTTGCATACGCTGTGTACATCTCTGCATCCAACTTAACGATGAAAAATCGTCCATCAGTGTAGGTAGGAAGTCGCTCATCGTTCATCGACCCAGTCCGATCGGAGATGGTCTTTGGTCCGACATTGCTTTTCCCTATGCTGTCACCCTGCAGTCTGGGTTATCGAATAGCGCGCACCCTTTCCTGTATGTTTGCCAGGCTGTTTTGTGTTTCGTGTGTTTATAGCCGTCTTCGTGATAACACGCCTTCATTAGTGAAACTGCGTATTTTCTCAATTAACGTTTGAGTGATCGATCCTGGTGGCGCATCTTGTGCTACATCCGTAAACCCTGGTATGGAAACTAGACTAGTGCGTGCGAAGCGTGAGTTTGCGAGGATATGCTTGTCTGGTTGTAAGATTATGTGCTGACGCGTTTTTCGCTCCATCCAACTCGGCCCACGGTTTCGGGCTGGCGCAGGGGCTGAGATCGCGTGCATCTTCGGTGATATCGGATGTGATCGAGGGTGGCGGCCTCAACGATGATAGCCGCCAGAACAAAGCTAACAGCCAGCCTTCTCTGGCCATCCCCGCTCTTCTCCCGCTCGAAGGGAAGACCGACAACGAGGTGAGGAAAAGACAGAATGTCACCCGCAAATAAGAGGCGAAACGGATGCCACTGGCATGTGGTAACGGGTCCTGTTTCGTGTGTACACGCGCTCCGGGTGGAGTCATACGTACGCACCGCTACTGCTGCATTCGGCGATGTTTTTCCCTCCGACACAGGTACGTCGCAGGGATTCCTCGCCCGGGAGGTATCATCAGGACCCCGATATGCATGGCTGCGTTTGCGCTATCGCCACCAGCGCTCTCCGTCCTTCACCCATCACTTGTTGATTGGTTGTCCTTGTTTTTCATTCCGCCCCCCTGTGTACCGACCGCTCTGTGACAATGAATGCCGATCTCTACCGCCACCAGGACGGCTCGTACAAGACGCCCAGCCGCGTCCGATTGAGCTGCGAAACCTCGGCGGGCGGTACCGCAGCCGACGGGGCGGACAAGGAGAATTCTCAGGTCGGGGCCGGGTTGGTGGGCGGGGGGAAGAAGAGGGAGGGTGACGCCGCCTTGGAGGCAAAGAAGCAGATTTCGGGCCAGAAGCGAACGGGCGGAGACATCGAGAAGCAGAAGTCGTTCACCGGAAGTTACTTCCAGGTGAGGGATGGATGCCTTGAAAACCATAAGTTTTTTTTTCTGTTTTTTTTCGAGGGCGGGGAGGGGCGTGGCCTCGGAACTAGAGAGGTCTTGCCACTGCCTTTGAGGTGATTGGTTGCCGTGGGTGAGACCCTTGTGTTCCGCGTTTTCCTGTTTACTCGCCCACATTCATTGCCTGTGGTGGCACTCATTTTGCCTTTGGTTGTATAAACTCGTCTCGGTTTCCTGTGGCATTTGTCTGCCTTTGTGGTTTCATTTATCAGTTGTCTTCGATTGGGCAATCATTCCTTCCGGTATAGTCTAGGGGTTGATATTTTCCTTCGGGATCGTGGACAGTTCACTGATTCCGACGGTTCTGCGGTGGCTCTTACGTACGACGACCTTTGTTTGGCTCGAAACAGGTCTCGCCAAGCTCCTTTCTTAAGTCCAGCAAGCGCCAGCGAAATTTCGCGTAGTTCCTCGAGTATTGAGCAGCATCCCAGCATCGGCGAGGCAACAACAACACCGCGTAACCGTTGACTATTATTCCCAACCGAACTGGCCGGGTGGTTTCGTTGGCTACACGTTCTTCTTCCTGGAAGGCATGGGACACTCAAGCGGTTTCTCATCGGCTTCTTCTCGAAACGTTTCTCGAAGTCGTGCACTTGCCTTCGGTGTTCAGCATGCAGAGTTGGAGCTCCTTGGGGGTCGTGGCTTGGTCGAAAGCCGTTCTGGCGGGATTTGATGCTGCCGTTCTTTCGTGAAGTGAAACCGCTGAAAATGTTGCTACATTGTAGTTTCAGCAAGGATACAGGCTGAGGTCCATTTGGGGATTTGGACAGCTGCAAGTTTGCTAGATAAAATATTGGAATCTCCCGTCGTCCGCGTGGTATGTGATCTCATACTATGACAAGAGGGAAGCTGGTCGTGTCCCCGTCGAGGTGCCAAATCACGCCTTCCTCTGTTCCTTCGAGTCCTCGTTCGTCTGTTCTGGCACCTGTTGTACGTATGCGTGAAAAGGAGACCGTCAGGCACGAGGCCAACCATGTCCGGTGTGACGGGCACCAGAATTGTACGACGTTACTGCGACGTTGGCTCGCTCTCCTGCCATAGATGGTGTCGCATACGAACGAACTAAGTTCACGGAGAGAGTTTTGGTCTTGGTTGTCTCTTTTAATAATCGAAGGGTCTCCTTGACTGTAGCGAGGCCTGTTCCTCAGTAGGTCATTCGGAATTTTCGACCTACACGGCAGTTCCGAAAGAGTGTTGAAGTTTATGTTCGCGCGTATTCGTCTTGAAAAGATTGCTTCGCAGCTACAGCAAATGTTTTTTCGTTTGAGTTTTGGCCCCGCCGAATACAGCGGTCGCGGCATCACTGCCTGTCGTGCCAAACTCAATGTTCGTGTCTCAGCTTGTATCTTTAGCCACTTTGTAACTTTACTATCTGCTAGCAGAACTACCCATACATTTGAGGCATGCCTAGGCATTCGTGTAGGAGAGAGTACTCTACCATATATACATTTGAGGCATGCCGGCAGATGTCTATTGTGCCTTTGGTTATTTTTTCTGGATATGCATGGTTTTCTGACTAGAGCATAGCAGTAACAAGGATTCCTGGTGTCGCATCCTTCGTGTGGCCACACCGCGATGTGAAACGCGCGTGTGTTTATTGTGTAGACTATTATCGAAATCGAAAAAGGTTTCAAAATAGTGGGTTCTGGGCTTCTTCCCACAGCCTGGGATCCTTGGCGTGAACCGGTCCTCTCTCTTATCTGCCGCAGCTTGATCCTACGGATGTAGCATGCGAAAGTTGAACAAAGGTGGCACTTGGCAAGAAGTGTACACCTTGGGCGTTATCTCATGAAGCTACACACGGAGCTGCACAGATTTGCGTCGAACAATATGCTACTAGATCTACTGCTGTAGACTACCATGCACGTATGCCGTGCAAGGATCCTCTTCATTTGTTTGGTTGATGGCTGCAGAGCAGAGATGGAAAAAGGGCGTCGTGGCAGATTCCTGAGCGTTCAAAGTTCAGCCGATGCGCTCGGTTTTGGCACACGTAGCTTGTGTTGGTGTTCTTGTCTGCAGGGAAAAAAAGTGCATGGGGCACGAAAAAAGCCCCGCCGCCTCGAGACTTTGACGCGGTTGGCTGCAGATTTGCTTACGCATGCGGGGGATGCTGGCCGAATAACCCGACCATAGGCGGGTAGCGTGATCAAAATCGGGTGGCTGGTGGGGGAGAAAGTAGGCAGGATCGGGTGTACCCGCTTGGAATGCGGTGAGCCGCGGGCCTGGGCGGGCGTTGGCCAGTGAGATGGCGTCGTGACATCGACATACAGAAGGGAACCCGGGTCTGGCCACGCGGCCTGCGGATATACCCGTTTTTGGCCGCTGCGCTTACTCAGCACTGGCCCGCAATTAAGAAAAATTCCGTGAAGAATGGAAGGCTCACCTATTAACGAAAAATAAGAAAAAAGGACGGACAAAAACCACAGCTCCATCTCGGCCACAACACAAGAGCCATCCCAAAAAGAAACATGATCGTGCGATACCCCGAATACATAAGAAACAAGGGTTGCTGGGGAAACTTAACCAACAAGGAACGTCCCACTGCTGCTCCTTCCGTGCTTCCATCCCCCCCCCCCTACGTAGCTGAATATATTTTTTTCGTAGGGGGGAGAGTAATCATTGTCGCTGGCCCTCCTCCTGCTGCATGAATATTTGGTGTGTTTTGGTGTGTTGCTGTATTCTTCGCCAGGAATTTGAAAAAAAGGAACAAAACGATCAAGAGGATGCGACAGCAGTCCAAAGAAAATGGACGACTTCAGCTGGTCCTTCGACCCAAGATAAGGGATCGAGCCTCGACCCGATTTTGGCGTTTCTTATCTCCGGGCCCGTACTGTATAAATCGAGTCCTCCCCAACGGCTAAAATGCAAATATACTCCCAAGGAGAGAAGGACAAAAACAAAACAAAAAAATAAGGCCGAATTCCTCTCCACCGACAAAAATACCAAATTGTTAGAAGGGAGAGGGACACAAGGAAAACAGAACAAGAAACGAACAGCAAAGAGGTCACATAGACGACACGACCCGTCATCCTTCCTTGGAGGGTGCAGCAAACGAGGGGGGGGGGGGGCG